TAAGGTCTCTCCCCTGTTGTCCAGGGGGCTGCCATTGAAGCATCACCCAGAAACTGGTTCAAAAGGCAGCAGCCCAGTGAAGCAGAGTTGCTACAGTCATTTAAATCCTATTTTGTAGTAATTTGACTGCCAATATATTTATGAGTGCAATGGAATGTTAATGTATAATTTCCTTTAGGTAGCTTCAGGGCTGCTCTCCTCCTTCAGACTCTTGATCTGTTGATTTTGAGGGTAGAGTCTCACAGGCAATGTTTCTTGTTTGCAGTGCCTGCACTGGGGGTGGGGGGGGTCCTTACTGCTGGCCTTCAGGAAATTATTAAACAATGAGTTATCCAAAAGGCATTGGTGGAATAGTGTGGTCATGGCTATGCTTACTATAATTGTTTTAATTCTTAATTTTATCTGTTTTATATATCAGTTTTGTGACTCCACTGGCAGCTGCTTGGAATTACACCAGTATAAAATTACAACAGATTATAAATATATTGCTTCCCTTTATTTCTTATACTTATTTGAAAGAGGCAAAAGAAAAAGAAAAAGCATCTTTATCTTTTACTATTCACTATAACAATGTTCTTCAAAAAGGATCAAGTGCTGGTCCCACTATACTGTAGAGAAACTGAGATTTTCAATTCTGGTAGAACAGTGACACTTAGTGGATTTAGGAGATATTAAGTTTTATTTCCTGACTATTTGCTTATATGAGAAAGGGAAGGAAAAAAATAGAGAAATGGAAAATGGAAAGGGGGGCATTCAAGAAAAGGTACAATGACAGAAACCACAAAATAGCTATTTCTACATACATAGCTTTAAATATATCTATATTTAGGAAACTCACTTTTTGAGGGGATTTCCTTTTAGGGGTAAAATTCTAAGTGAAGTATCCTGGCCAACCCAACTGTAATAATCGTCCTTTTTTTTTGTAGGCATGAATGAGAGGCAACATTCCCTTCTCCCCACAGGTTATAAAAGAACAAACAGACCAATGAGCAGGCCTGGGTAAAACAAAGGAAATGTGTCTCTGCCTGTTGGGACACTTGCCCCTCTTTTGTATGTATTGCGGGGAGGGAGTAATGGTGAAGGCTGAAGCAAGCAAGTTTTTTTTCCCTTAAGGAAATTGATTTTTATGCTTTTGGGGGTAGGTGAAGCACACCTGTTAGTTCGCTCTCCTACCCTGCATGCCATTAGAAAAGGTACAAAGACTGTGCAAGGTATATAAGTAAAACAAGGAAACTGTTCCACTGATTTGCTGTTTCACTCAATTCTTTTCCCTTGCATGGGGTTGTGGTAAGAGAAGCAATATTTCTTACTAGGAAGCAATGCCTGGCTTTAGGCCTTTTTAAAGGTTTAAGATATGAAGCAAGGCATTATCTTATGCGGTTTCTCAACTTACTCGCCAGGGGGGGAAAAAGGTGAATATACCAAGCAAAGGAAAGAGCCAGATGATGCAGATGAAACAATCTCCTCCATCTTGCTGTGAAACTGCATCTTTCTTTCTAATATTAATGAGGAGAAGCTTTGAAAACTGAGTGTGAACCATAGAAAGATATAATGCTTGCTAACAGTGACCCAGCACATCTGCCCAAAAAGATGCAACGTACAATTCTTTTTTCCTGAGTCAACTCCCTAAATAGCAGACATGAACATAGTGATCTTACCAGATGTCTCGAATGAATGATTGAACAGGATTTTTAAATTTAGATCAAGGGCTACAGATTGCCTTAAGTTAGAGAAGGTACTTTTTCTTATCTCCCCATCCCTAGCCTAAAATCAGACTGGGTCAATTTAGTCCATGGTGCTATTTAGTGTTATACATGCAGGCAGTGCTTTTTTTGTTTAAAAAAAAAAAAAAAGGTGCCGGAACTCACACATGTCATACAACCCGCCTTGTCTACCCTTCAAGGTTCCATCCAAAAAAGGTACTGGAACTCTGTTCTGGGCGTTCAATGCAAAAAAAGCCCTGCATGCAGGCATCCCTGCCAATTCACTCCTACTTTCTAGAAGCTGCATATGGAAAAGGCAGTGAATTCATCTTATGACTTACTTACATTCTAAGTGGCAATGAGGTGAGGAACTAGTCCAACCTGTCATATCAGCCAGTGAGAAAAGACTAGAACAAGATCAGGTAAATGTGAATTGGCAGGGCTTCATTGAACACTGCACTATCAAAAACAAACAGCTGGCTTGATCTAACTCAGGGGTGTCAAACTGCCGGCCCGTGGGCCGGTTGCATCATGTGGAGGCCGCACCCACCCCAGCACCGACATGTCACATGACGCAACGAATTTGACACCCGTGATCTAACTCAACCTCTGATTGCTGCAGGAGCCACTTCAGCATCAAGACTGTAGCAAAAGGATACTTCACATTCTGATGGTTGACAGCTCATACAATCAGGCAGTGATTCACATAACAACTGCAGCAAGAAAGGTCATAAAATGAGGCAAAGGTCACTTAACAATTTTCTTGCTTAGCAACAAAAATTTTGGGTGCAATTGTGGTCGTAACTCGAGGACTACGGGTACTTGTGTCTCATATTTTTCCTGCCCAAGTTCAGAACTTTTATCATTCTCCCTGCTAAATTCTATCCGATTCATTTCAGCTCACTTCTCAAGCTTCTATCTGAAGTATTAGCAATCCACTCAGCTTTGGGCCATCTGCAAACTTTTTAAATACAGGTAGCCCTTGATCTACTATCAGTTGCATGGAGACTGATCAAAATTATAATGAAGCTACTTTAGGGCTAGTTACGACCTGGATTTGAAGTTCTGACAGTACCCCCCCCCCAATCATCATATGACCAAACTTCCAGTGCTCGGCAACTGGATCACATTTGTGGCATTTGCAACATCCTGCAACCATGTGACTGTGTTTTACAATGATTTTGCCAAAACCCAGAATTTACTGTTTTCTGCAAAACTGTATCCATACCGAACCATTGGTTTACTTAACAATTGCTACATTTGTTTAATGACGGCCACAAGATTCATGACTTATGACTTATAACCAGACTCCATTATATAAATCAGGGACTGTCTATATTACTTCAACATCCCCAGCCAGCTACTGATAAAAAATGTTGAACAGCAAAGTCCTCTGGCCCTTCATTAGGTATAATCCTCTCTGAAGCTGGAACCATTAATGAACATTCTTTGGTGTGGTGGCTCATCCAATACGAGTCTATCATCTAGTGTATATTTTAGCATTTTGTGTAAGGGAATATAATTAGCACTCCATCCAAGGCTTTGTTGAGTCCAATTACAATCTGTCTACAGACTTCTCCAGATTTACTATGCTAGTAACTCCATCAAAGAAGGAAATAACAATGTGGGATGGTATTATAACAAATTCATGTTAGCCCCTATTAATTGTAGCATGCTATCAACTGCTCATAAGCACATTGTAATAAGTAATTCTTCTCCCTGTATTGCACAGAGGGATATGAGGCATACTCTAAGTCAGTGGTTCTCAACCTTTTTAATGCCGCGACCCCAACCGGTCATAAGTCGAGGACTAAACCGGTCGTAAGTCGAGGACTAAACCGGTCGTAAGTCAAGGACTTTCCCTGCCCGGGAGCGCCGCGCATGCGTGGTTCCACCCCCTGCGCCGGCTGAGGCGTAGCTGGCAAGCGGCAGAGACGGAGCAGGCCGACCACCAGCTGGCCCGGCCCAAGGGAGGTAAGGCACCCGCCGGAAAAGGAGAAAAAAATGGCGGACAAAAAATGGCGGACAAAAAAATGGCGGACAGCCTTGCTTGGCGACCCCCGTGAAATGGTCGATCGACCCCAAATGGGGTCCCGACCCACAGGTTGAGAACCACTGCTCTAAGTGCAACATTCCTGAAAGAAAGGACAGGTAACCAAGCATGGGGTAATGGTGAAGATGTTGGTCCCAGACCCAGGAGATAGAGCTTCAAGTCTACCTTCAGGCATGGAAAGTCACTGGATGAAGATGGGTTAATAACTCCTTCTCAATCAACCTATCCAGCAGGCTGTTTTGGAAGTATACCATATATGGAAATCTATACCACCACCATGGGTTCCTGGAAGAAAGGCAGGGTACAGAACAAATAATCATGGGCAACAAAACATCCTGCTCATGGTTTGAAAACAGCTGCAGCTGTGGAACATACACTTCTGGGGGCATCTGGGGCCACCTGCCAGTACGGGACAGCAGTGACTATTCAAATTATCGCTTGATAATTTCTCTGGGCCTCTTCCGAGGGCATCATATGTCATGTATGTGAAATGGGTGGTTATATAAATGTGATGAATAAATAAATAAATCTGAGGCCACCTGCCAATGCAGGACAGCAGTGACACCTCCTATTATAACTTCTCTGGATCTCACCATCAGCTCCTTCAAAGAGAAGCCACGAGTAGCAAGGAAAGCAGTTGCTGTTTTTTTTTCTCCAGGCAGTACGGTTATTTCAGTTTTTCCTACTGCAGTGCCCCGTGAAACTGTGCAAAGCTATGCAAAAGACAGAAGTAGACCTCTTATCTTTTACACAGCTCTACTTGGTAGAGTAAGCTTTCTCTTTCGCACACTTCCAAATCCCCAAATTCCTAAGGGGTTCTCCTTTGCCTATTCCTTGTCAGCTTGCGCTAAATGAGCTGTCAGCGGAGGAAGAACGGCCGTTCATCGCTTACTGGGGCACCTTCCCTGTTGCAAAACCAAAAACCAAAAAAACCACCAGTAGGTAAGGTGGTTCCCGTTCCTCTTCTTAGGGCAGGGGTAGGCAACCTTGGCTCTTTTATGACTCCTGGACTTCAACTCCCAGAATTCCTGAGCCAGCCATGCTGGTTCAGGAATTCTGGGAGTTGAAGTCCAGGAGTCATAAAAGAGCCAAGGTTGCCTACCCCTGTCTTAGGGGGAAAGAGCCAAGAGAAGGTAATGCGGGAACGCGCCCACGGCCTCGATTCTACCCCGCAAGCGGGGGCGCGCACGCGTCACTGGGGACCGCCGGAGAAGGAGCGCACGGGACTTGGGAGCGCGTGTTACCTTCCCAGACGGCGTCTCCGGTCTCGAGCCGCCGGAGGAATTTGTACCAAAAGGTGTTCGCGGCCTCTTCCTCGGGCAGCGCCACCTCGCCGAGCCACAAGACCGGTTCTTGAGCAGGCAAAGGAGCCAGCGGCCGGCTGGGCTTCATGGCCAGCGCGCGCTTGGGCTCCCATTGACCCAGCTCCGGCCGTGACCCCGACACGCAAAGCACCGTCCCGCCTTCAGCCAGACGGGCGGGAAGAATCACCCCGAAACGAAACAGCATGGGCGTCCTCGGAGCCAGGAGACGGAGAGCAAAGACCCTGGGGAGGGGGGGGGCAGAGAAGAAGGGGGAGGGACGCACTCAGGGAGGTCCCCGTTCCACTGCGGGGTGCCCGTGACGTCACCGGCCGCCGCCACGTTCCATCGAGCGAATAGGGAGGAGAAGGTGGACAGGATTGGTCGGTGAAGGCCACGTGACGTGGTCGGCAGAGAAACTTCTCAAGTCAGAGCGCTTTCAAAGCTGTCGCGTTTTGTCTTCGGTCTTTATCCTCCGTTCGATCCCTGAAAGATCTAGTTCCGTCGACATTTATTCTTAGGAAAGCCGCCGTGTCCTATGGTGAGCTCCGCTCCGCCTGCAGAAGGAGGGGAGCAAGGAAAGAAGGGACCCGCGTTTCCCTTTCTCCGCCGACCCCTAGGCAGGAGGGGAGACTCAAAAAACAGTGAGCAGACAGGAGAAACAATCGGCGCCGATTAGGAGAATTGCCTGGGGACTTGATAACAAAGACCCAACCAGATAGGACGCTGCTTAGATTTGTCGAGATTAATCAAGCGCAGGGCTTTTCAACCTTTTCACCCATTGTACCACTTTTAGGACATGGCAACATCTGAGTACCACCAGTCGCCTAGCAAGGTGTCAAAAACTTGATGATTTAAAAAAAAAAAAAGGAAAAAAGTGATGAAGTACAGGTAGTCCTCGACTTACAACAGTTCGCTTAGTGACTGTTCAAAGTTACAATGGCACTGAAAAAAGTGCTCCCCAAGCCACAGCTGAGCAAGATGCTTGCCTGCCCACCCGGCGTCGCTCTTCCTCCTGTCCGAGGTTTTCATTGTTGTGAGCATTTCTGTTGATTGGCAGCGGGGGTGGGGTGGGGGGGTGGTTTTTATTCCCCCGTCTGCTGGGTGGTTGCAGCAGGTTTTGGTCACTTCACATGACCCTGGGACACTGTGACCGTCATAAATATGAATCAGTTGCCAAGCCTCTGAATGTAAATCACAAGACCCTGGAGATGCTGCAACATTCCAGCTGATCGGCACTTCTTCTGGGCTCAGCAGAAGCCCCAGGATCAACGCCAAGCTCCAGCTGGAACCTGGCGCTGATCCTGGTCCTTCCACTGAGCCCTGACAGCCCCAAAGAAGCACTGATCAGCTGGAAAGCAGCACTGATCCTGGCACTTCCACTGAGCCCTGAAGCTCCAGCCATCTCTCACTCAGGCTTGTGCGGTGCTGCCACCGGTTCAGCTCATTCCCCTCCCCCGCTACCACTTTTCTAGGATGGTTGCGTACCACCTGCCAGGTGCCAATGTACCATAGGTGGTACCCGTACCACTGGTTGAGAAGCCCTGATCAAGCGGACACGGAGATATCCTAACTAGCTTTCCCACTTCCAAGGAGAATACATGTCTTGCTGCCAGATACTGAAGCAAGGCTCCCAAATCAAAGGTACAAAAACAGAGATCCCAAAGTCCTTCCTAAAGTTGCCGCGCATGTATACATTTTAATGTAATTGGAGTTTTTTTTAAATAAATCCGTGGGAGTAAGCATCTCTATTGTGTTTACATTGTTAACATTGGCATATATTTTGCTAAACCCGCCTACCTGTTGAAGGGTACTCCGTCTGTAAAGGCCAAGTACGGCCTGTTCCCCACAAACTTGTACCCACCCAAGGAAGCAATTCAGGTCTCAAAATGGATGGAAGTGTTTATTCTCCATAAATGATTACTTTTCTAAGACTGAGATGAAAGGATAAAAATACTATCATTTAGTGAAATAGGCTTCTATATTCCTCAATTTCAAAAGTCATGAGACCTGATGATGGAATCCACTACAGTAGGTTTCTTGAAACCCTTCTTCCTGTCTCCTCATATATTACTGGACAACACATATAATTTCACCGTGTATTCTCAAATAATTTATTAAAACTAGAATGAAGTAGGTAATCTTCCTACGAAATCAGGAACTCGTTTCGCAAATCTAATACAATGATCCCATTTGATCACATGTAGTTTTTCATAATCCCATCTCTTTGTAAGATTATATCAAACAATTACGCATTTTTGCTACTGCACGTTTGCTTGAGAAAAATATATTTATATACTGTATTTCTTGCTAAACACCTGTATTGGATATTATACAATAGTCTTATAAATAGAGGTAAAGGATCCAAAATTAAATGTACCTGATACTTAACATTTATTGGCAAAGAAACACCTTTTGTTATTTGGACAAAGCTTTATTAAATTTATAAACATCCTTAGGGAAATGCAGAACTGGTTTTGTAAAATAAGGAAAATTGCATTAAGATGGCTACTTAGAACTGAATTGTCAAACCCTAACAAAAAATTTTAAGGCCAAAATAATTCCAAGCCAATGTGTATCAATAGGTACATTTGACTGAAGTTCTTGCTACTTAAAGGAGTTGCCAACTATTACTAAATCTTCATTTATTTCCAAGAAAGATTGTGAATATTGGCTGTTTCGATAAAGTCATGACCCAGGACATTCTATGGTGTAGTATTTTTTCATATATTACTAGGACTTAAATTATTACATTGTAGCTCACCCAGCATTACAGAAATATGGACAGTTCTAAAGAGTTCACAGGATTGATCAACAATCAAGTCTAAACACTAATTGTTAGAAGATCATATTGCTTTCACTTCTAAAATATCTGGTTTTAAAAATCTCATGATTTTAAAACCTATAGATTATAAACAATAAACAATTTATGACATATTCCCACAACTGACAAATCATAGGGACTTTAGTAGTAACAGGCAATATTAACTATAGTGCTAGTGCTAGAATGAAAAAAAATGTATTTAGCAACTAATGCTTTCAAAATACATGTTTTCTTCATAAGTTTTATCTTTTTAATGACATACTGAGCTATAAGAAATGCTAACTCCAGCAATAAAATCATATTTGATGCTTCACCTTAACTATTTAAGAATGGAGATTTATTAAGGAAAAGGTTATTTCCCAAATTATAAACAAAAATCATGTACTAAACAAATGTCAAGTGTTTTTATTAATTATACTAAACATTGCAAAACACAGCATTAAGTGAACATTAAAACAAAGTAATGGATTGCCAGTAAGAAAAACAGCTGTATATGTGAAGTTGTAAAGGCAATTCAAATGGAACAAACTAGGAGAGGTTTCAGTGTGACTTTAATATGGAAAGTATACTATTGTAGAGAAAATTAAGTATTGACAAACTACTACTTTGGAAAACTGCACAGCAGTATAAAATACTGATACCCTTTAATTGTATTCCTGTTTGCGAGAATATTTTAATATTTATTTATTCTTTACAGCAATAATGTTTAATAACTCAGGAATAAAACAAGAAACAGTATTGGAATTTGAAGGCAGAAATGCAAGTAGTATTAAGAATGAACTGTTCAAAATGCTTAATGTAAACAAATAAACTAAGCATTCATTATAGATTAATCCACATTTCTTTAGAAGCCAAGAGGTTTCTTGAATACTGCATGAAGCCTTTACAATTACAATATACGTACTCCTTACATAAGGGCTGAGGTATATTTTGCCCATCTGTTCTTGAGGAAAAGGTAGAATGGTTTATGTATTGGTAAAATATTTGATGAATAACAATATATGCATAAACAGCTTCCAACACCTGTAGAATGAATATTCTTGGTTGTTTTAGGTTCATCGTACTTTTGCAAATGAAATCTCTATATGTGTCAGGGTCATGTTTCCTGGCTCTAGGCATAAACCTCTGTAAAAAAAAAATCCAATGTTATCAAAACTAATATGATACTGATGTAACATTCATTCTTTTTAAACTGCTAAAACTAGAAGTGTTTTTGCAGCTGAAGATTCCACCAATTGAAGGAAACTTTTTCTCCTATGTTCTTCAAAGAGAAAGGCAGCATTGTGAAAATAATTAACTGATCCCAAGATCCAGGCATTATAGATAATAGCTATATAAAACATAATTATCTAGCTATATGGCACCAGAGAATGAGACTTAGCTTTTTTAATAGAACTGCTTAATAAGACAATTACTTTCCAGATTAAATTTATGTCAACATAGTCTTAATCAAGTATATTTAAATGATTTAATTATATATTACCAATATATAGCTAACTTTCCAACACTTTCTTCTTTAAAACTGAAACATTGTATTATTTTTAAACAAACTTGGATTTTTAAAATTTGTGGCACCAAGCTCAATAAACTAACTGTATAAGTATTAAAGCTTTTGAATAACATCAACAAAGGCATTTTGTAAGTAGAAAAAACAATCACCAACATTTCCTCATTATGGAAGACTATGAAAAATATGGAGATATGAAATAAACATTTAAAATACACTTTATCCAATGAATTAGTTCTCATCTTATAAAGATGGCGTGTCAAGAGCACTATCCTAACCACATTTGCTAGGACAGAAGTTTCAGTGGAATTTAGTGTACAGAGAATAAGTCCTAAACTCTCTAAAGTAGCCTTGAAACCACATAGTACATCCAGACTTGTTAACATAACAGAATATATCTCAATGTGATAAAACTTAAGCCCTTTGATAAATGTATTAATCTAAGTATTATGAAATCTGTATAGCTAATTACAGCAAACAATATATTTTTTTCAAGATTACCTTTTATTAATACCAAACAATGAAAAAGGGAAGTGTATTGATCCAAAATTCTAGCCTAGGTATTTAGAGCCTGAAATAAAACGGAATTTTGTTCCATTGAACTGCTAATAGAAGTTTATGTTGAATATCAAGAGAAGGTACTATTAGAAAAAAAAAAGATCTATCTCGGGATTCATTTGATAGGATTTTGCTGCATTAAATTAGAAGTTTTGATCTTAACTCCAAATACTTGTGGATTATGCTCCTATTCATTTGCATTTAACACTAAAATCACACTTTGCAATCTTAGCAAGAAATGACATTAAATAACACTGTATCAGCTTATATGAACACAGCAATCCATAGAATGAAAAGACTCATCAAAACATACGCTGCTAAATTTCAACTAGGATTCAATGTTACATTCAAATTTG